TTATCCATAAGAAAACATACCTGCACTCGATAGCATGTTCTGGCTCTCTTCAAGCAAAGCAAAGGAACAATCATACAGCGAGCTAGAATGAGAGATTTGTGCCCCATCCCCAGATAGTTTAACTTTAACTGTAGGCTCATCTTCAACTGAATTCTGCAACTCTCTTCAAAGACAAAGATAAGCATGTCAACATTAGAAGTCATAAAAACAGGACCATTTTATCTTTTAAAAAGCAGGAGGTTACAATATTATAAACTGTACTTTGCAGTATATGTGTCCTTTTTAGTTACAAGTTTCAATTTTTCTCAGCTTGGTATGTATTTAACGCTTATTGTCTGTATGAATTTCTCGAGCTTACCTAATCCTTTAGGGAAAACATTATTTACAAAATATTTACATGCGTTTGGCAGTCTGAAGGTAAGTTCAGCACCAGGACACTGCCCTGTGGTCTCTTTATTTCCCACTGGTCATCTAAGGATTGCTGACAGCCTTTGATTAGGTAACCTCTTGGACGTTCTGGCTCTTGTTGGGTTAATTCATGGTATACGTCATGAGAAATGGGGAACTTGTTCATGATGTAAGGAATGACCATTTTTTTCCTGTTCCTCTGCTGGAAGGTTGTTGTAGTGCTGGGATGACTTTTCTTGTCGAATATATAAGGATAAAATGTTTGTTGATGATTTTTTTAACTGATTAACTTGTTCATGATATGAACAATGGGAACTTGTTCATGCTGTAAAGAAATGACCATTTTTTTTCTGTTCCTCTGCTGAAGGTTGTTGTGGCGCTGGGATGACTTGTCTTGAAGAATAAAAAGGATAAAATGTTTGTTGATGATGATTTTTTTCTCTGTTATTCCTTGCTCTCCTAAAAAAAGGAAAATATACTAATTGGAAAATTTAGCTACCCATCATACATACATACATCACCTTTATTTATGCTCAGATTTGCAGTGTAGCTATTAAAGCTAATATCTCCGAGATAGAAGAAAATAAAGAATTACGGGAAAATAATAATAATAAATAACTAAATAATAAATAGATTACAAGATAAAATAAATGGAAGGAAATATAGCACTATACAAAAAGAGGTTAACTACCCACTACTTGTATTATTATATTTGTTCAAACGAAGTTTGGCACACCCATTTAAGCTTCATTTAAGTTAATTTCATAGTGCAGTCTAGTTTTGTCTCCTAATGTCAAAGACTCAGGCATTAGTCCATAGGTTTTCCCAAACCAAAGAGTATCCTTGACTTTCTTTGAAGAAAGAAATAACACTCGGAGATGAGAAGTTGAGTTTGTGTCATATTTCCCTTGGTAACCATTGTTGTTTACAAGATATTGAAGTAAAAGATTAAAGTTTACTTAATGTATCTGGGATAAATGTCTGTGCATTGCTGCTGCTTTCCTTCTGTAAAATCTTTTCCAGCGTGGGTGATTCTCTGGTGCATCTTATGGTATAAGTCAGCCTCCTTTTTATGGGTGGCTGTTACCACCAGAAATACAATAATGTCAAATAGCACAGACAATATGCAAATAGTCTAGTGATGAATTATGAAATGGTTCAAATAATAAAGAAATGATTGTTCTTAAAATAAAATAATCTGGTTGTTTTGTGTGAAATGGTGACCATAACTACAAACGATTTGGTTAGATGAGAAGCTGTCCATTGGTAGATGTTAAAACGATACTGCCAAACAAGAATCAGTATGTTTAAATTACAATCCATCAATATACCATGTGCGAAATGATCGAGCTTGATAACAAACAGTTAGCTGCTCTGTTGCATAATGGTTTGAGCAAAGTAACAGTTCACGCAAACATTGACATATGGTTTAAGTCCTACGCAAATGGTTCAATGTAATGTCAAATGATTTAATCGAGACTGATTAATGAAGGTATGACGAAACAAATAGTGCTGCGTGAAATAAAATGGTTTCACTTGACATACAATATTGGTGGCACCGAAACGTCCAAAAATACAAGAGTGAAATGGTTTAATGAAGGAGCCTAGGGCTATAGTTTGGGCAGATGACAATAGTGGAAGCAATAATGGCTACAACAGCGTTGGGTGTTACTGGCCAAAAACTTTTGAAAAATCTTTTTAACGTGTATGAACTTCAACTTTGTTTAGGAAAGGTAAGGGGGAATCTGGGCGTAGCCTCATTGATAACTGTAAAGTGAGGGTCACACCCCAATGTCCTGCCAAAAAGGGGAGGGGTAAGGGACGTATCCCAACCCTATTCAACCGGGATTGTAGTTCAGCATTCTCTATTTTCCAATTTCCATAATGCTTTGCGTCTTGGGGGGCAAGCAGAAATCTAAGATGGCTAGCTGTGCGGACAACTGAGAGCGCCATGGGTAAAAATGACTTTTGTTGTGCGCCTAACTGTTCTAATAGAAGGAATCGAAAAGAAAATATCCAGTTCTACCGAATTCCTAAAGGCAAAGAGTTACGGAAAATATGGCTGCTTCGTATAAGACGAAAACAGTTTAAACCAACTGCTAACACTCGTTTGTGTTCAGAGCATTTTGTTGGAGGTCGTCGATCAATGGACCCGAGCAGTGCTTCCTACTTTCCCTCTATATTTTGCCATAGCCATAACAAGAGCAATAGAGGAAGAAACACACTAAGAAGTCGAAGTGCCATTCCAAATGATCAAGAAGGTGACCACAAGCCGGAAGTAAAACGAAAGCTCAAGATGGTATGTCAATTTTATTACTATATGGTGTTTCGAGGGTTTATTTTGTTTAAAATCGATTATCATCTTTATATCTTGGCGAAAGTCGATATTTAAACATGTTAGTTTTCATTCAGATTTCTGGGAAATATCCACAACTAACAAGTTCCCTTCAGCCATAAAAAAAATTTGAATTTTCATCACAAGAGTAATACAAGAAATTCTAATAGCCTCAATTTATTTAAGAAGCTTTTGTAAACTATTTTATTCAATTTTAATATTTTATTAACTCTATCTTAGGATTTTACTGTAACTCTCTACTTTTTAACTTTTTTTAGATTTAATAATTTTTTAGCTATTGTATATTTTATAATTTCTACTCAGGACCAGCCTGAAACCCACCTGAGGGTGAGGTTGCCTCCTGGCTAAAGATATTTACTTATTTAGTTATTAAAGCCCATGTCTTCCTAGTTTGAATGTTGCATATCGTGTTGTGTTAAACCAGCAGGTAAATTGAGGTTGAAAAATGCCGTATAATTGTCCTTTTTGCTAACTTTTTTTCCCTTTCTATTCTACTGTTTCAGGGTCAATCACAAAGGGGTAGACCAGAGACAAAGTTTGAAATACCAGTAGAATCAACAGTTTGGGGAGAGTGTTTGCCAGAATCCAGTGCCCTGAAGGGTCATGATTATCTGAAATGTCAGGTGGATCCACAATCACAACAATTTTCTGAGCTATACCCAGCGGAATGTAATGAATTACAAGAACTTTATACCAAAATTGCACAGCTCGAAAAAGAAAATTATAAACTCAGAGAGCGTTGTATTTCATTGGACCAAATAAAACAATCGTCTGAGTCATGCCAGTTTTGGACTGGATTCCCGAATTATGGTACATTTAAAGCACTTTTTGACTTCCTTGACGAGGCTGCCCAGCTGAAAACAAATTGGAGAGGACAGGCCACAGTTGAAAGCAGGCACTTTTCTGAAGCATACAAGTCGAAACCTGGGCCAACTTCCAAAAATTCCACTGAAGAGGAATTTTTAATGGTTATGGTGAGATTAAGGGCTGGACTCCCTTTAAGGGATTTAGGCCAACGATTTGGACTTTCTGTGTCCTCAGTATCAAAGATATGCACTGCTTGGATTAATTTGATGTACTTTGAGCTAAAGAAATTGTGCCAAATGCCAGAATGGGATCAAACTGTGAATGCAAAACAGTTTTCTCAGTTTCCTCATTTGCGAATTGTACTTGATTGTACTGAGATCTTTTGTGAAAAGCCATCATCACTACAGGCAAACAAGGAGGTTTACAGCAATTACAAAAGCCATACCACTTTCAAGTATTTGGTTGGCATAAGTCCCCATCCAGCTGTGGTCTATGTTTCAAAGGCATGGGGTGGTCGTGCCTTAGATAAAAGGATAACTCAAACAAGTACTGATTTGCTTGACAAACTGAAACCAAATGATGAGGTCATGGTTGACAGAGGCTTTGAAATCGAAGGCACACTGACTCCACTTGGGGTTAAGCTCACCATTCCAGATTTCAAGGGTCAGGGAAGAGCTCAGCTGAGCGAGTCGGAAGGAAAGCGTTCTGAAAAGACCGCTGAATCTCTAATTCATGTTGAGCGTGCAATTCAGAGAATTAAATGCTACCATATTTTAGACCGTGAACTTCGTTTAACTATGGCATCATTAGCTGATTAAATTTTTACTGTTTGTGCATATCTTGTTAACTTTCAAACACCATTTCTTAGGTAAGATTGAACTTTGTGGACACATTTCCTATAGATGAGCAATATTTCTCCAGATCTTATAGCATTATATTTTTCTTTACAATATAATGGCAAGAATTCAAATACAAGTAAAAAAGAAAAAATATTTATACATAATATAAATATGTGAAAAGAGAAAGAATGGAGGCCATTAGGAGATCTATAAAAGTCAACAAACCCTGTGCTGTGATAGACCACCGTAAAATATATTATAGTAGGAACGCAGCTTTTTTCTTTTGGAAATCCACAAATCTGATTGGTTCTCCCACTGTTGACTATTAGCTCATAGAACACAATTGCCTGCATGCTGCTCTTTGAAAGGAAAATTTTTCTTGATTTGTGGCTTTATATAAAAGGACATAAAATAGTAGGTTTTGGAATGCAATCCTTTGGAGTTTTTACTAATTAACTATTAGACTACTTGCCCTAGTTTTCTTTGAGTGATTATCAACTTGGCTGCGCCTTGTTGACTATTCGCTCATAGAAAACTTAGGCTCCTAGTCTAATTAGCCATTCTAAATGAGCAGGGGACTAGGTACAAAT